TATCCCAAAAAGCGACCACGAAGAAGTTAACTTTAGTGTGTTTAAAATAGAATAAACGTACATAAGCAAAACAGTAAGCAAATTAAATACTTATTAATATGGACTCTTTCTTGTGGTCTTCTCCGATTTTTTTGTTGCTGTTCTTGTTGTCTGAAAGCCCAATAAAAATCAGGCCTCCCATAGAATTTTTGGGTGCTTTTACTGAAAGTACCTGAAAATTATTTTAATTAGAAATGGTTTTCCGGGAAACCACCCAAGATCCAGAAGAAGAGCTTACCTATCAAGCACCAAGAATAAGCCTTAATGTTTAACTTTCCAGGAAGTTTTCTTTTTCTCCATGACCAGAGCCAACATCACTCCCAGGATTTGCTAAGAGTCCCTTAGCATTTACTTTATGAGGACATCATGCTTCCCTTTAAAAGGGGTAAGCAATTAAAATATATTCAAATGTGCACATAGACAACACTTGGTGACTTACACCTGCAACCACGGGAAATAGAAATTAATCTGACAGTCAATATAATTAGACTCTTTAAGTTAGGGATGCCAAAAATTTCACACAGTAGGTTCCATTCCTGGGTCTGCCCCTCTCACTAGATGTTAAGCTCATCGAGGGCAGAGATCATACAAAGATCACATCCTATGTACCAGTTGCTTAGCATGATGTACATGGTATACGCTAAAAATTCTTGGTGTAAACAACTGAGCAAGTCCGTAAATAAATGAAATTCTTCCACCCAACAGCTTACCACTTATCTGTATCCCAGCTAAAGGACTTGCATTTTGTCCTTCTCACCCACCCTCAACTGTCTTTCAGTAAAAATGTCAAAAATGATAGGTAATCAAAGAGAACCAACTCCCTGATTTTGGTGACTCCAAACAAAATAACCGTTCCTGAAATGAACTGTCTTTGAGCATTGATCCCTTTAACAAACTGGTAGATAAATCATACTGAGTAAATAATGTCACTTTTTATTAATTTAAAAACTATATTCCCCCCCACCCCCGCCCCGCCAGGCACTTCCTAGCCAACCCCTCTCGACCTCCCACAGCCCCAAGCCAGGCTTTGGAACTTGAACGTCAGACCTCTGGAGTCTCTCCTGGGGAAGTGAAGGCTGAGCCAGGAGGATGTCTTCCCGAAGCTCCTGAACTTGGGCTGCTGACGCTGGGGCATTTCCTGACTCTAGAAGCCACCTTAGCTCACAACGCCATGGCTTTGGGACCTGAATTGCTAATGCACTCACGGATTGGTGCAGCTGACTCACACGGTGATACGTAAGGAAAGGAAGAGGAATACCGCCATCCAGCCAGACGATGGGAACTCCATCTTAGCAAATGGGGCCGATCCTAGTGAATGATGGTATTATGTATGGAAGGAAGCCTGGGAGAGGTGATCTCTGGCCTTTTCTTCCCCTAAGTACACAGGAAGGTCATCTAAACTATTAATTACCAGGCTGAGTGTTTCTTGAGATAGCACAAGCCATGGGTTCTACAGGCCACAGGGGCAATCCCAGGTTCACACCGTGCCAGGAGACACCCAACACTATGAAGACCATCACTAAGCCCAGAAAATATGCATCAGGATCCATAGCTAACAAGTGACTAACAGTGCCACCATCCAGACTCCACGTTAAGTCTTTACGTGCAATAGCTCACACCGATCACCTTAACCCTATGGGGCAGGAAGAACTAGCCCATCTCCCAGCAGAGGGAAATGGGGCTCACAGAGGTAAAGGAGCAACCACCTGCTGTGAAAGATACACATGAGAATCCAATTCCGGTGGATGTGATACAAAGCCCAGATGCCCCTGGAACTTTCCAACTGCCAAAAAGGGTTCTCTAGAATAATTTCAGGTTGTAGAGCACCTTCCAAAATACCTCTCGGAGTAATTTCCTTTTAATAATTACAAGAGCCTTCCTTCAAGTCCCATCTAATACACGGTAAACTCCAGTAACCCCACAACCCAGAAGGGCTAAAATCAATAATAGACGGCACAAGCTCTTACAGCAAGAACTTCCTTTAAAACAATCTAGGCGCAAGAGCATAAGCAAGTCCTTTGGCTTCCCTGGGCTCCGTTTCCTCATCTATAAAATGGGCTGCTGAATCAGGAGCTGGTTACACCTTCCAGGTAGGTGCTGAGGCTCTCAGGCAGTGAGGTCAACGCCCTAAAATCCGGGTGAAGGTCAGACAGTGAAACCTGATATCTTTCTAGGGCATGCACAAAGAAGCCTAGGAAAGATACCCAATTTCCCTTTAGAAACTCCAAAAATCACTCTTGCCAGAGTCAATGATGTGGCCCTCTCAGTTGGGGCAACACCGAGACACTATAAAAATATTTAGGCTATAATCCATAAACCGTTTCCAAATCTGATTAAGTAATCTGGCTTCTCTGTTGGTTAGAGTTTACCCCATGCTGGATTCTAGATTAAAGTTAAATTTAAAAGCAAGTATGAAAACATGAATTTTAATGTTTTAATAAAGATAATAGTGTTTTCAACTTAAAGTAACTACTGTCACTTTCCTGTTTATGGCACTAGATTCTGAATTCAAAAAACAAAAATTTTCAGTGTCCGTGTATATTTTACAAAATAAATTTCACAGAAACAATGAAAAAAATGTTTATTTTTACAATTTAATCAGTCCAAATAGGAAATATACATCTGTGCTAAGCACTTTGTATGTCCTATTACCCAACCCCAAACTATTGACAGACCCCCCCCCAAAAAAAATTTTACATTTTTTTGGTGGGTGCTTCTTGGCCTACAGTCTGCTGTGGATATGCAAGTGGATAAACAGGCTTCTCTGGAAAAAGATGGAGAGACAGCTGGGCAGGAATATGGAACTTGCTGGAGAGAAGCACAGGGTCAGCCACTTATTAGATCCCCCACTAGGTGGAGGCACCATGAGGCCAGGACTTCTAGGACTTGTGGTTTTGGATCTAGCTATGTGCTGAGCACATAGCAGGCTTTTAAAAAGCAATTGCAGAATGAATTAGTTGGTAAGTTTTCAGCAAAATCCTCAATTTTTGGGCGGGGAGTCCCCCTACCAATAGAATGAGGATAGTAAAACATGCCTACTTGAGTTTTCACAAGAGACAGGTGAATGCATTTGTAGAAAACAGAGCATTGTATCCGAGCTATCTTTCTCAATACTTCTATCCCGCACCCAGCATCCAGGTTATATGAAGTGCTCATTGAATGCGTGCTAATAGATCACATTCCTCTCTAGTCAGCTGACCTTCCGCCTATCTGATGGTGTATTTATGATTTTTAGAAATTTTATTTTCACATTGAAGAAACCTCATTTCTATCCCCTTCTTGGTTGCCCATTATGCTATTTTTATGAGGCACTTCCCAAACCCGGTTCTCCCTGCTGAGCCCTAACACTGGAGGCGAGTATATCACGCTGATGGGATTCCTGACCCTCCACCAGTTCAGCCCGGTATCTGTCGCTGGTCTTCCTGAAAAGCACTGGGAGTCTGCCCACCCGTGTGCCTCCCCTTGGCAAGGACAATAAATGAAAAGGAGACAAGGAGCTGTATAATAAACTTAGCATTTTGATGAATAAAAACTTATTGGGCATAAAGGTAAATACTGTCCTGACTTGCTGTTCTTATCAATTTTAGCTTTTTAAAAAGTGCCTGAGATCCAGGAAAATGATTTATCTCACTAACTCGTGTTTAATTTCTGTCAATGTGAGGTTTGAGGCAAGCCCTCCTCCATTATTTGATTAACAGTTGTATTTGTTTGAAAAATATGTTCCACCCTCAGAAACCAGCCACAAAGATCCTATCAAGTCCAAATCTGACTTAGTGATACCATAACAGAAACTTTTTATAGAGTAATTCCCTGTTGCATTCATGTCTATTCCTGAGCTTTGCTTAAAGATCTGGTAATTGTAACAACCCATGCCTGTATCAAATATCATGGCAGCCAGGACAAAGAAAACCAAGATGAAAAATGTGACATTGTTCCAATTGATTTGACTTCCTTAGAAATAAGTCAAAGCCGAGATAGGTGCCAGCCTTTTGGCAAAGGCCAGGGCAATGTCAAAGGGAAACACTAGGCTGTGTAGCCAGCCCCTGCCCCCAACATCACAATCTCTCTCTCTCTCTCTCTCTCTCTCTCTCTCTCTCTCTCTTTTTTTTTACTTAAACACGTTCCACCGTTTGGTCATCTATAGATTCAACAATGTAATTTGGACACCGGGATGAAGAGAAGAAGATCTGATTGCTGAAATAAAAAACCACATCAGAGAACTGTCCACAGATGATTTTGGGAACCCAAAGATGACAAGATGAGGGACAGGAGGAAAGGACATAATTTTCAGGGTCCTCTGGGTTTCAGGGCGAATCTCTATCAAACCCGGGGCTGCAGGGATATTGCGCCAGGCACTTCGCTACTGAGCACCGTTTCAGACTGGCCCGAGTCGATTGTATTGTTACCTTTTAACATATATGTATGTATATATATGGCCAATGCTACACTGATTTCAAATACACAAACATCTGCACGATACGGTAGCACTTGTGTGGCTGCGGGCCACAGAAAGGTAAACCCACCTCCCCACCCCCAGACCCTCAGCCGAGGGGAGCGCCGCGGAGGTTCTGTTTTTGGGACTTTGGAGGTGCCACGCGGAACCGCGGTCCAGCTGCACGGACCGAAACGCACTCCCTACCCCGAGCACCTATGTGGGCACGGTGACCGCTCCGCATCCAGCGCAGACCCAGGAACAAAATGAGTTAGAAATTCCACTGGGGCAGAGTTTAGTCCCCAACGAGAACACGAGGACCGGTCCAGTTATTGCTAGGTCCCAACAATAGCGTTCGGTTTTAGAAAAACCGGACCGGCTCTCAAATAACTTTAACTCCCTGACATGGGTCTGTGGGTACCGTGCATGTGACAATAGAAAGGGCTCGGGATGGCTCCGCGACCCGCAGCATCCTCCAGGGCGCGGCGGAGACCTGGGTACCTGCGCGCACAGAGGCGATGGCATTTACCTCGAGTCGACTTAGACTGGAGCTCTTGGAGCGCGACTTCTTGCGCAGGTACACGGAGAAGAACCTGCGCACGGTGAACTTCTTCATGCTCAGGTCCATCGCCCCGCGCCCAGCCGGGAGGAGCCGCAGGCCCGGAGGACGCGCATTCCCGGCGCATCCCAGGCGCGCGGGGTCAGGTCCGAGGGCGGGTGCGCGCCGCCGGGGAGCCCGCCGCGGCGGCCATCGGCGCGGGGCGCGGGCTGCGGGCACAAAGGGCAGGCCGAGCCGGCCACCGCGGCCGGGGCTCCAGCGCACCCTCCTCCCTGCCTCCTCCTCCTCCCCCTCCTCCTCCTCCCGCAGCCTGCGAGGACCAGCCCCAGACAGCCCCGCCCCGCCCCGCCCTCGGCCACTACCGCCAATCAGTGCCCGCCGCCCCGACGCTCCCTCCTCCTCCTCCTCCTCCCCCTCCTCCCCTTCCCCCTCCTGCTGCTGAGGCTGGTGCTGCCGCTGCGGCCGCCGCCCCGCGAGGACCAGCCCCGGCAGCCCCACCCCACCCCGCCCACAGTCACTACCGCCAATCAGATGCTCCCTCCTCTCCCCTCTTCCTCCTCCTGCAGCGGCCGCTCCGGCCGCCGCCCCGCGAGGACCAGCCCCGCCCCGCCCCGCCCCCCGCGGCTGCCGCCAATCGGCAACCCCCAACCCAGGCGCTCCCTCCTCCTCCTCCCCCTCCTCCTCCAGCCCTGAGAGGATCAGCGCCGAGCAGCCCCGCCCCGCCCCTGCCCCTCCCCCCGCCACTACCACCAATCAGCGCCACCGTCCCACTGCCCCAGGCGCTCCTCCCCGTCCCCCTCCTCCCCCGCCCTCCGAGTCCTCCCCCCGCGCGCGGCCCCGCCCCCCGCCCACACCCCCACACCCCCGCTGGGCGCCCTGGGCGGCGCAGTCCTGACGAGCCCCGCGGACGACGGCTGCGCTGCGCCCCGCAGGCGGTGCGGGCGCCCCAGCGGCTCGGGCGCCTGCCCTCTGCTCTGCTCCGCTGCCCTGCTGGACTGCGTTCTAGCCGGGGGGAGTCGTTATGGTGTTAGCCACGTACACACGTTGGCATAATGCTCTTCTGTGCCGAACAAAACTTTTGTTAATCAGCAAACATTTCTGGAAAATGAAAAAAAATCCGAGGGGCTCCGTGAGCCTTCGCAGGGCGCTCTGCACCTCTCCTCTTCCCGCCGCGGCCCCGCAGCCCGGGCGCCCGAACCTGCGGGTCCATCTGTCACTCCCCGGGGTGAACGGACCCCCACGCGGCCTGGGGAAACCTCCGTTGGCAGTGCTTGGAGAACAAAGACACATCCGTTCTCCATGACCTCCGACTCCATATATAGAAAATTGTCCAAACGGATGACTTACTAGGCCCAGCACAGTGTCCTGAGTCAGGGCTCTCTCTGAGGCCGGCTGCCGGTTGTAGGGCTGGAGGGGATTTGCCTTAAAGGGAACATTTTTTTTTCCCCCTAGAAATGCTCACCGGAGGGCTATAGACAGTTCCAGATCTTTGAGCTCAGAGCTCCCAGCAGCTTCTTCATTTTACTCTTGTGCAATGTGCACGTGTTGAGTCAATGTTTAAAATAAGGTCAAAGTCAGCACAGAAACTTTCATGCATATGGTACTGTGTGCCAAGATTTGCTCTTTTGCCAGGTAGATTGTGAAAAATCCCAAGTGTCCTGTCATCCGCTTGGCTAAGTCAAAGGTCGCATTTAATCCCTGTAAAGGGCTGTCCTTGCTAAAGTGAGTAGGGAGGGCAGATGCCCCAAATGAGAACTGGCCATTTCACACTGCATCTGGGTCAGGAGGTGAGGTCACATAAGCTCTCTGGGGTTTAATGGATGCCACAGGGCCGGGCAGTGGTGAGCACAGAGTTTAGAGTGGATGCTGGGTGCTGCCACGTCCTTGCTTGGAGAGCCTGAGCACACTGGTCTGTTCTGTGTCCCCATTGTGCATCTCTAAGATGAAAATATGCATGTCAAAACTGGTTCCTGTGGGCTGCCTGGGGGGCTCGGTTGGTTAAGTGACTGCCTTGGGCTCAGGTCGAGATCCTGGAGTCCCAGAATCGAGTCCCGCATCAGACTCCCTGCTCGGCAGTAAGCCTGCTTCTCCCTCTGACCCTCCCTCCTCTCCTGCTCTTTCTCTCTCTCCCATTCTCTCTCTCAAATAAATAAATATCTTTAAAAAACAAACAAACCGGTTCCTGCTTCCCTCAAGGGTTCTGCTGGAGGGCGATTATCCCTACTCCAGGAAACAGCTTCTTACCCCCTAGAGCCTTCCCCTTCGCCGGCACTTGAGGCATCTTGGCTCTAAACAAATGCAAAGACAGGCCAGGACTAGGCCCTGTTGCAGCTCTGATGGAGAGCAGCTGATGGCCCACAGACACTGGGCTGGTCACCAGCCCCTGGGATGAGAAAGGGGCCAGTTCTAACAAGCTTCACTGGGGGGAGATGGGGCCGGGGACCATATGCCAACTGTACCAGGTCAGGACAAAAGCCTCTGGCAGGCCTAGATCAGTGCTTGTGTTTTACCACAAGAGCATGTTGACCTGGTGTAACAGAATTGGAAAGGAAATGTCTTATGGTGCATTCATGATCCCCCACATTTGAGTGCAACCAAACTGCTCTATTGAACTTGGAGTCTCAAAAGAGTAAAAAAAAAAAAAAAGCTTTCATATTTTCAACTGTAGAAATAATTCCATTGCTAGAACCTTTGTGTTTGCCTTTATCTTTAACCTGGTAAACCAAGTCTATCAAAATCTCTAAAAATCATTTACCACCAGTTCCTGTGTTAATACGATGAATACCTCCAGACCACCAAACCTGCGTTGATATCAGGGCCTGCTTTCACCTGGGCCTGGATGATCCCTCCCAAATACTGGGGGCGGGGAGGGGGGGAAGGGTGAGCTTGGGCCCTGATGGTGGGGAGGGAGGGGGGAGGCTTGGAGAGAAGACCAAGCTCAGCAGCCCCCCCCGGTGACCTTGAGTCTTTCCCTGTCTTGAACACGGGAAGCCTGACGCCACATTCTCCGCTGCTGCCTTTAAGCGAGGACTGGCCACGTGCGTTCACCTTGGTCCCACAAGTGGTCACGGACACCTCCTGGTGCCGTCCTCAGCCCTAGGGATACAAAGAAGACTGTGGCATGGCTCCTGACCTGCAGAAGTTGACAGCTGCATGAAGAGAAGGTAAGCAGATAGACAAACACGATGCAGTTTTTATGCAATGCAAAAGAAACGTGTAAGGAAATGCTATGTGTTCGGAGATAAATCAGAAGTCGGTCCTAAGTGGAGGACGTGGTATTTGGGGTGACCCCTGGGAGTGAGGAGCCATTTGTCCTGGGCAAACAGAGGAGGTGGGGTCCCAGCTTGTAGAAGAACAGGGTTACTGAGAATTTAGAACAAAAGGGGTTTCATGACTGATTAATGAAAATTAAAGTTCTATCGAGTCCCCAGGACACCTGAGGCATATAATTTCAGAATTTCAGAAACAATAACTGAGGTCTGGTCCATCCTGGAATCCCCCCTTTGGGAACAGCTTTTGGAAGGAAGGTAACTTTGGCAAAATCTGTACCGTCATGCCCTTCCTTTCCCTCCCTCCGCAGGACCGGGTAGGGGGGATGCCACCTGCTTTGCTTCAAGCCCCCCCGTGAGAGTTGTGATTTGCTGCGGGTGCAGTTCAGGTCTGAGTTCTAGAGAGCAGGGATGGTCACTGCTCTGGGGAGGCTCAGGAGGGGCTGTTCACTGAATGCACCTATGTTCACAGGGCTTGCAGGAGGAAGGATGCAAGAAGGTTTCTTAAAGACCAGGTGTGGCCATGTGATCAAGGGGCAAGTCTGGGGGTCTCTGAGATGCTGTCCAGAGCAGAAGCGTGCAGCACCAGGCCCAGGGCCGAGGGAAGAATTCTAGGTCCTGTAAGTGCGTGCAGACCGGGTGGGGGCATCTCCAGCTGCAGTAACCCCAGAGGAAGACAAGACAGCTCTCCATGAGAAAAAGGGTCAGAGTGAGGCTACCTGTGTGCAGACCAGTTCCAATGAGTCTGTTCTCTCCCTGTATCTCCTCCCCTCCCACTCTGACCCTGGCAGGAACCCAGCAGCCTCCCAGCCTAACACAGCCTCAAGCCAGGCAAAGAGACTGTGCGTCTGGCCAGTCCGTAGGACTGGAAATACTAATTTCTTAATCAAGTATTTAAAACTGAAAACAAACATGATTGTCTGTTATTCAGGAGTGGGAAGAAAAAACTATGCAGGTTGATGGGGTTCCCCATCATTTACTCTGATAAGTACTGAAAGGTGTGTTTCGAGCCACGTTGGGTCAACAAACCAGTTACAAGTTACAACAAACCAGTTATAAGTCAAGAATGGTGTCCAGCTGCCGTTTACAGCAGTGAGGGCCTCAGAGGATGGAAGTCACCTGCTCAGTGGGGTTCCCACGGGGTGGCACCCTCAGTACGAGGTGGACGGAAATAACCCCCTTGCAGACCAGGGCTCGTGATTGAGCACTGGCACTAACCAGAGAGGAGCAGGAGAGCGAGAACGACCCCCCACCCCAAGCATCCATGCACACAGCCCCTCCGTACACAGGTCCGCGGCCCCCATGCACCCCCGTGTCCTCTGAAAACAGCAACAAAAGCTCCAGTGGTCTTGACTACTTCTTACCCGAGGTGCCCCACAGAAACACGCAGCTGTGCTCTCTAGAAAAATCCACATTAAACCCAGGCTTCCGAGAATTCCCCCAGAGGTGGTCACGGTCACTGCTCGCTCGAAGCACAGGGCGCCGGCACCAGCAAAGCCGGCAGGACCGCTGCCCGCGGGACCGGACGTGAACTCTGCCTGCAGCATTTATCGGATGTAGAATGTTAAGATGATGGATGAACAAGACACTCCGGGAAATGCGCCCGTGTGGTGCTGGGCATGTGTGCGAGCTTCAGAGAGCAGACTGCCCGAGCTGCGGGAGGTGGGGAGCCGGCTGTGTGGTGCTACCCGAGGCTGCTCCATGGGACGCACGTCGGATGTGAAATATCCGAATTCTATCCACTGTCCCCAATGTGACTTGACCTTTCCCGAAACTCTGAGC